TATATATATATATATATATATATATATAGCCGGCTAGCTAGCTAGCTAGATAGCTAGCTAGACAAACATATCGCCACACATTCGGCTAGCTAGCTAGCTAGCTAGCCATTCAGCTAGGCGTTAGTTAGGCAGGTGCGCCTAGGCCTGTAGCTAGCTAGCCAGCTAGCTAGCTAGGTAGCTAGCTGTGATGCAATGTATTGTTTGATTTGTAGGTGGTTTATTTATTTGCTGCTGAAGTATTCATTAGCTCTCAAAATTGCTGCTGCAGTACCTTGTGCTGCAGTTAGCTGCCTGATTAGCTGCAGCACGGAAGCGTCTCGACACGACCCTTGCAGCAGCTTCTGCTGCTGCTGCTGCTCTGCTTCCAGCAGCAATTCCTCCTCCGGGGTCCCTTCAGTCTCCTCAACAGCAGCAGCACCAGCACCAGCACCAGCAGCAGGAGGAGCAGCAGCACCAGCATCAGGAGCAGCAGCGGGAGCAGCCTGCTCCGGCTGCTGCTGCTGCTGCTGCTGCTGTGTTTCAGGGGTCTGCTGCTGAGGCGTCGGCTCGTTAGATAGGAGTTGGGCGAAGCCTTGGGATGAAGCCTGCGGCTCTGCTGCTGCTGCTGCTGCTGTTTCTGGTGCTGCTGTTGCAGTTGCTGCTTCTTCTGCTTCTGCTGCTGGTGCTGCGGGTGTTGCTGCTGCTTCTGCTGCTGGTGCTGCAGCAGCACGTGCTGGCGTACACCATAGATTGAATAGAGCAGCAGCAAGAGCTCCAGCTAGCCTTTTGTGCGGTTCTCCTCCTGCTGCAGCAGTAGCAGCAGCAGCAGCAGCTTTAGTCTTTGCTGCTACTGCTCCTTTCGTGTCTGCAAACTTTACAGAGCCTCTTCTTGTCAACCAAAACGAAGCAGCATTAGCATTAAAGAAAAACACATTCTTTTTAACAGCAAGTGCAGCAAAAGCAGCAGCACGTCTGCTTAGATAAACAAGAACATCAGCAGCAAGAGCAGCAACAGGAAGTTGTGAAAGAGGCGCTTGAAGCGGCTCTAATGCTTCTCCTACATTAACAACAGCAACATTTAATAGCTGCAGCACGAATTTTCTTTCAGCAGCAGAAGACAGAGACCCCCAGCCATTGACAGCAACAGTGCTGCTGCGTATACTCCTCGGCAGCAGCTTTCTTTGATTTTCAGCATCTATTAATTCTTTTTTAATATCATTTACTGATATATCTGCAGATAATAAAGACGATACAGGGAAGCGTACAGTATAAGGACGCCCTATTGCAGCTTCAACCTGCGCATACAGCCAAAGAGGGCCGAAGGAGACAGCAAAGGAGACAGTATGTTTCTTTTCTTTTACACCTACAAAGACTTCTCCTTGAACTGTATCTTGAACAGCAGCAAGCTCATTTCTTAGTCCGATTGTTTCTGCTATTTGTCGAGATATTGCTGCACTTTGTCGCTGCAGCTGCTGCTGTATCAAACGCTCTTGGCTGCGCTTGTTAAGAACTTTCTTTGCTTTCTTTAAAACACCGCGAGTATCCGCTACTTCAACCATACTCTCAGGTGTATAGGCACCTCCATTTGCTGCATTTTGATGCAGCAGAGCAGCAGATATATTGTCTCCTGCATATAATAAACCCCCGTTGACTCCCCTCTTAATGCTTCTGCTGCTGCTCCTGCTGCTGATACTGCTGCTGCTGCTGCTGCTGCTGGGAAAAAGGAGGTCTTGGGGTATAGCGCTGTTGACATCGATGAAACTGCTGCTGCTGCTGTTCCTGCTGCTCCTGCTGCTGCTGTTGCTGCTGCTCTTCAAGACAGGGTTCAGACGGTTTAAAGACAGCTGAATGTGTTTGCTGTTAATAGAGACAGCTGCAGCAGCAGCAGCAAAGAGCAGCAGCAAACCTGCAGCTAGCCGGAGGCTTGCTGCTGAGGCCCCTACTAAACACTTGTTGCTTAAGCGCGACATTCTACAGACAAAAATAAAAAAACAAAGAAAAATATAAACAAATAATAAAATAAAGATGTATTTACTTTAATATAATACTATTTAAGCTGCAAACACAAAAGAAAGAAAACAAACAAATATAATCAAACAAACTAACAGCGCGCAAACCCGCCGCAAACGACAGCCAGCCAAACCCTAAACCCTAAACCCTAAACCCTAAACCCTAAACCCTAAACTCCGATTTCTTAACAACAAACCATAATCTTTTAGACTTAGTTTTCAGTGGCTTTTATTAAAAATATAACAACAAACCCTATACCCTAAACCCTAAACCCTAAACCCTAAAAACCCTTCCTGCCCAGCGGCCGATACAGCTAGAACACAGACAGCCAAAGGAGAGCTGCAGCAGCAAAAGTATTTATTTATTTAATTTTTATTTGTTTATTAATTAAAATAAATTAATTTAATTTTTTTATTTCAGACATTTGCGCGCGGCTTCTCCGCCGATACACCCCAAAGACCACTGGACACAAGTGACCCTAAACCCTAAACCCTAAACCCTAAACCCTAAACCCTAGACCCGAAACCCTAAACCCTAGACATCAAACCCTAAACCCTAAACCCTGAATCCTGAACCCTGAAGATCAAACACTAAACCCTAAGCCCTAGAACCGTAACCCTAAACCCTAAACATCAAACACTAAACCCTAAACCATAAACCCTAAACCCTAAACCCTGAAGATCAAACCCTAAACCCTAAACCCTAACCCCTAAACCCTAAACCCTAAAGATCAAACCCTAAACCCTAAACCCTAGAACCGAAACCCTAAACCCTAAAGATCAAACCCTAAACCCTAGACCCTAAACCCTAAACCCTAAACCCTAAACCTCTAGATGAACATATGAGGCTAAACCCTTACAGTGAAGACGAATGCTCTAAGGCCAAACCCTTCCTTCACCTTCTGTGCTCAGCAGGATCCCGGCAATCAACATAAGCCCTAGGGTTTAGGGTTTAGGGTTTAGGGTTTAGGGTTTAGGGTTTAGGGTTTAGGGTTTGCCCACTAAAATTTGCCTACTGGAACGAACGCCAGCCAGCACGATTGCATCTCCCCCCAGCAGCAGCAAAAGCAGCAGCAGCAACTGCAACACCAGTAGCAGCAACAAAAGTAGCAGCCACAGCAGCAGCACCACCAACAACAGCAACAGCAGCAACAACAACAGAGGCGGAAGCAGCAGCAGCAGATGTCTTTGAGTTGTGCAATTCTAACCCATAGCGGGATGTCTCCTTAGCTGCTGCTGCTGTTGCTGCTGCTGTTCCTGCTACTGCCGCTGCTGCATTAAAGAAATAAGAGCCTCAGGCTTTGTGCAGGGTGAAAGCCTGCTGCTGCTGCTGCTGCTGCTGAAGTAGAATGTCAATTCTTGGGGGGAGACAAAAGCAGCAAAATAAAGAGACAGGAGACAGCAGCAACACGCAGCAGAGACAGCAGCAGCAAAGTGAAGAGACTGCAGCAACAAGTATCAATCTGCTGCTGCTGCAGCGACAACCGCATCAGCAGCAGCAGCAACAGCTGCAGCAACAACCGCATCAGCAGCAAGAGCAGGTGCTGCTACAGCAGCGCTGCCAGCAGGAGCGGCAGCAGCAGTAGAAATAACAGCAGCAGCAGCAGCAGTAACAGCAACAACAGCAGCTGGAGGTATTTAAAGAAGTTTAAGAGGAACAGACAAAATATTAAAAGTGCAGCAAAATGAAGAAAATAAACAGAGACAGCAAAGGAGACAGCTGCTGTCCCTCTTCGCTTTGTCTCCCAGCAACGGCAGCAGCAACAGCAACAACAACAGCCGCAATAGCAGCAGCAACAGCAACAGCAGCAACAGCAGCAGCAACAACATCAGAAGCAGCAGTAACCGCGGCAGCAGCAACGGCAGCGGCAACAACAGCAGCAGCAACAGCAACAGCTGCAGCAACAACCGCATCAGCAGCGGCATCAGCAGCAGCAACAGCAGCACCAACAGCGGCATCAGCCGCAGCAACAGCAGCAGCAACAGCGGCACAAACAGAAGCAACAGCAGCAGCAGCACCACCAGCAGCACTATGACGGGCAGCAGCAACAGCAGCACTATGAGGGGGAGACAAAACACACAAAGGCAGAAGGAGAGTTAATAAAGCAGTATACATAAACTCAAGCTGCCTATACACCTCAAGGCCCCTCTAAATAAAGACAACAAAGTAAGAGAAGCAAACAAAGAAAGTAAAAAAGGAAAGAGATAGACAACAAAGAGGTAAAATGAATTAAATAGAATTAACCTAATAAACAAACAAAGCAAGAAAAAGATAATATAACAAACAAAACTTTAAGCCCTTCTACTGAAAAGGAGGTTAACAAAAAGAATTTTTAAATAAAATTGAATAAAAATATTTAATATTGTTTTATAATTAATTAATTTAATTTAACAATTTAAATTATCTATCGAGCTAAATCTTCTTAGGGGTGGGAAGGCAGACTAGAGCTGCAGATACACCCGAATGCTGCAGTACTTTTAGTTTTCTTCTTTCTCGTTTTCTGTAAATATGTTAAAGTTTAAATTAAAAACTAAATTAATTTTTAATTAATTTTTTAATTGCTTATCAAAAGATGTACGTACACCGCAACCAGCAGCTGTCGCTGCTGCGGAGTCTCTTGTCGGCAGCAACAGCAGCAGCAGCAGCAGCAGCAGCAACAGCAGCAGCAACAGCAACAGCAGCTCGTTCTTGCGGTTGAGTGCGTTGCATCTTCTGCAGGGATTTATCACTTTTAATATTTGTTTTATGTTAAGGTATTTAATTTGCCTCTAATCAGACAAAGCAAATTGCAGCAGCAACAGCAGCAGCAGCAGCAACAGCAGCAGCAGCAGCAGCAGCCTCGCCGCCAGCGACAGCGGCCTGCTGCTGCTGCAGCAGAGGCGTTGTTCGAGACTCGAAGCAATTGAGGTGTACATACACCTCAGACTGCAGCAGCAGCAAAATAAACTCGTGTACGACTGCAGCAAACCTGCTGCTGTTCAGGTGTACATACACCTCCTAAACCCTAAACCCTAAACCCTAAACCCTCAGCGCAAGATGGCCATCGACCCTTTCTGTCTCTTCCGAACCCTCGGACTCTGCAAAGTAAGAAAAAACAATAAACCCTAAACCCTAAACCCTAAAGCCTAAACCCTAAACCCTAAACACAAAGCCAAACCCTAAACCCTAAACCATCGTCTCGACCTGGACCACCGGCCAAACCATCACCCTAAACCCTAAACCCTAAGCCATAAACCCTAATTGTCATATACACCCCAGCCCTAAACCCTAAACCCTAGCTAGCCTTCAAACCCTAAACCCTAATCTAATGACCCTCTCGAGGCCCTAAACCCTAAACCCTCAGGAAGCCTAAACCCAAAACCCTAAACCCTAGCCCCTAAAGAGATTCTAAACCCCAGAGACGCCCCAAACCCTAAACCCTAAACCCTAGAGAGGCCCTAAACCCTCAACAAACCCTAAACCCTAAACCCTCAACAAACCTTAAACCCTAAACCCTCAACAAACCTTAAGCCCTAAACCCTCAACAAACCCTAAACCCTAAACCCTCGACTTGGTGTTTGTTAATCAGGAGCCCCCCGTAGAGGCAACTCAGCCGGAGTGGTGGTCTGGTCTGCCTAGCGGAAGCCCTCAGCATTCATTAAGACAGCAGCAGCAGCAGCAGCAGCAGCAGCAGCAGGTGCTGCTGCAGCAGACCCTGGGGCAGAGCTTCGATGCTGTGGATGTAAGAGAGACAGCCACTGAGGTGTACTGCATGCAAACTGCAGCAACAACAGCAGCAGCAACTTACTATATGCCATCAAAGCAGCAGCAGCAGCAGCAGCAGCAGCAGCCGTTCCTCTCCGACTATACATCTGTACATAATAGAGCCTATGCCCCAGCAGCAGCAGCAGCAGCAGGAAGCTACCCCAGCAGCAGCCGCAGCAGCAGCAACGTTCACGTCCCTGGTTTCTTTGGGGACCTCCCCTTAGGCAAAGGAACAGCAGCAGCAGCAGCAGCAGCAACAGCAGCAGGAGACAGATGGGGCAGCACGGAAGCCAGCAGTAGCAGCAGAGGTGTTAGCAACGAGCAAAGAAGTATTTAGCAGAAGCAGCAACAGCAGCTGCTGCAGGTGCTGCTGCTGCTGCTGTTGCTGCTGCTGCTGCTGCTGCAGCTGCAGCAAGAGCAGCAGCAGCAGCAGGATAGGAGCAGCAGCTGAGGCAGTGAAGGAGAGACAGCCAGTTAAGTTGTCTCCACTGTTCATCCCCCCTGTCTCTGCTGCTGCTGCTTCATCTATAATAATATTAATCTGTCTCTTCTCGCTTAGAGAAACAAAAGCTTTATACAGCTGCAGCAGCAGCCCAGGTGTACGCACACCTCAGCAGCAACCCATGCAGCAGCACCAGCAGCAGCTGCTGCTGCTGCTGCAGCTGCTGCATCTTACATTTATAAAGAGACAAATTTATAAGTATTTGCGCGTCTCTACTCAACCCGCGCCTTCTTAAAGAACTGCAGCAGCCCCTGTTGCTGCTGCTGCTGCTGCTGCTGCTGCTTTGTATTGATTGGCGCGAGTTGTTGTTTTGTATCGGACTGAAGAACTTCTATAATATCATCTTCGTCCCCTTCCGCTGCTACTGCTGCTGCTGCTGCAGGTGCTGCTGCTGCTGTTCGTGTGCTGCTGCCTTGCTGCAGTTGCTGCGGGGGTAGAGGGATGCTGCCTTTGCTGCAGGAGAGCAGCTTTAGCTGCTGCTGCTCTCCGTCTAAGGTGTTAGACAGCACTCCCCACTTCTGCTGCAGCTGCCTGTACACCGCGTCGTCAAGCGTGTTCTGCAGCAGCAGCAGCAGCAGCAGCAGCAGCAGACAGGTCTTTAATAATAGTATAGGATATGTTACACTTGAAAGAAATAAACAAATACAGGAAAACAGAAGCAAATAAACAAAACCTAAAAAGCAAATAAAAGAGAGATAAATATAAATTTAAATAAACAAACAGAATATGTAAAAGGAGACAGATAAACAGATAAAGAGACAGAGAAAGAGATAAAATGCAGATAAAATGCAGTGTATAAACAAACACAAAAATTAACCAAAATAAACAAAGACAGATATTAACAGAAATAGACAAAGATGTGCAGCAAGACAGCATCTCTATAATATATATATATATATATTATATATATTATATAGACAGCATATATATATATAATATTGTATACATTTATCTACATATATATTTAACTATTATTCACGCTTCATTATCTATTTATTGATGTATTTAGGCGTGCTCTTGCCTCTACTGCTGCTGCTGTTAGCTGCTGCTGCTGTTGCTGCTACTGCTCCAGTTGTTGTTGCTGCTGCCGCTCCTGTTATTGCTGTTAATTGCTGCTACTGCTGCTGCTGCTGTTAGCTGCTCGTGCTGCTACTGCTGCCGCTACTGCTGCTGCTACCTCCTACTGCTGCTTCTAACTGCTGCTGCTGCTGCTGTTGCTGCTGCTGCTGTTGCTGCTGCATTTGCTGCTGCACTAGATTACCTCTCCGATGAGGTAATGTATATGAACTGAGTTATGTTTGCTTCCAATTCTGTGCGAGCGATCTTCGGCTTGCAGCAAATAGCCAGGCACCCAAAATAACTCTGCGAACACCACTGTACCCTGCATGCATGCAGCAGCAAAAGCAAAAGCAGCAGCAAATGCAGCAAATGCAGCAAAAGCAGCAAATGAAGCAGCAGCACACGAGAGCTGCGGTGTACAGTCAGCTCTCCGCAAAATAATGAATATAAATATAAAAATATTAAAATATAAATAGAATTATAATAAGAAATAGTAAAACAACTAAAATGAAAACAAAGACAAGGAAGGAGCTGCCTGTACACCCCAACTAAACTGCGCACCGCTGCTGTTAAATTTAAACCCTGGCCGCATGCAGTTATCGATAGTACTGCTACCTAAACAAAACAAACAACAGCAGCAAAATAAAAACTATAAATAAAAAGAATAAATAATAATATTAAAGTGATTAACAGGCATTAAAAGACTCAAAAACAGATAAAAAATATTCAAGAAAAAATAAGAGTAAATAAAAGTATAAAAAGAACAACAAAAAGAATAACAAAAACAACAATAAAAAATAAATAATAAATTAAAATAAAATAAATTAAGATAGAATAAAATAAAATAAAATAAAATAATGGATTAAAAATAGTAAAGTAGATAAAAATAAAAAGAACAAAGAGTAATAACAAATAAAATTAAAAGGTAAGTAACCATGCACTTAACGACTCAAATGAATAAACAAAAATAATAAAAAAGTAAAATTAAATTAAATAAAATTAAATTAAATAAAATTAAATTAAATAGATAAAAAAGTAGATTAAACAATCAATTAAATTAAGTTAAATTAACTTAAATTAAATTAAGTTAAATTAAATTAAATTAAATTAAATAGATAGAAGTAGACTACCATGCAGAGAGGGTTTTGTTGAAATTCGTTAACTTTTTGTTCTCTCTGCATTTGGGGTGTACGTCCATCGATTTTAACAGCAAGTTTTCCTTCATGCTTTGTAATATATTCATAAAGAGCATCTAAAACAATTAGATGATGAGCAAATACAATAAACTTTACGCTGCAGTTCAGCAAATAAGATAAATAACTACAAATCCCTGTTAACTTCGCCTTCCCAGTCAATAAAAATAACTCTGATACTAATGCATGACTTGAACGCCCCTTCTGCTGCTGCTCCTCCTCCTCATCTTGCTGCTGCTGCTGCTGCTGCTGTTCGTTGTCCTGCAACAGCAGCAACAGTAGCAGCAACAGCAGTAGCAGCAGCAACAGGAGCAACAGGAGCACCAGTAACAGAAGCAGCAGTAGCAGCAGGAACAGCAGTAGCAACAGTAGCAGCAGCAGCAACAGTAGCAGCAGTAGCAACAGTAGCAGCAGCAGCAGCAGCAGCAGCAGCGCGGCAGCAGATAAGAAGAAAATGAGCCAAGCAATACATAAAGACATGTATAAATGCATACGTCTTTGTTTATATATTTCTTTATTATTCTTGTTTTTTGTTATTATTATTTTATTGTTATATTTATTTTTATTACACACTACACAGACAAACCTACGAACGTAAACTTAATATATATATATATATATATTTATATATATCTGTCTCTCTCTCTCTCCGTCTCTCTCTCTTTAATTATTTATTTATTTATTTCTTGTTATCTTTTGCGTCTGCATGCAAGCTGAGGTGCGCATACACCCCAACTCACCGCCTCTTGAGAAAGTGCTGCAGCGAGCAGAGATGAGTCAACCCCGTTCATCTTCTTTTGAATTTCACGCAACTCTTTCGCTGGGATTTCAATAGGAATGCGAGACCTAAAGAAATATATCAATAATTAAATATATATATATATATACATATACTTATTTATGTATATATATACAGATATATAATTGATGTAATGAGGCAGTAATAGTAATAAATTTCAATAGGAATGCGAGACCTAAAGAAATATATAAATATATAAATATATATGTATATATGTAGATATAAATATATTATTGTTATAATACACGCTATAAATTAGTACATTTCATTAAGAGAGCGATATATATATATATATAACAAATAATAAGGAACAGCAAATAAGAATAAACAGCAAATAATAATGGATCCTAGACTATCAACAGCTGAATATATTGATTTAAGGTGCCTATACACCCGAATATATCTATTTAAAATGCTTATAGACCTGCATGAGGTGCCTATACACCCGAATATGTCTATTTAAAATGTCTCTAGACACCTAAATATATTGATTGAAGGTGCCTATACACCTGAAAAAGATGCGTATACATCATTTATGAGGTGCCTATACACCCGAATATATCAACGCACCTGACTTTTGGTGGCAGTTCTTTTAAAACATCTTTTTTAAGTCTTCGGATTAGAATTGTTTGAGTAAGCAGCAAATGTAATTCTTCTTCTCTTTGATGTCCATCATCTTCAAAACGCCGGGTAAATGCATTAAAAATAGGAACGCAATAACGTGAAGCAAACTCTCGATAAGAGCATAAGTCAGGCAGCTGCAAACAAATAGAGAAAAAAATAATTATTTTGACCTGCATATACACCCCGATGTGTAATCTACAATCCATTTACACACACATACACAAACAACAAACAAAAAAACAAATAAAAAGTAATACGTCGCCATCAACAAAACACAAAAAACAAATAAACAAACAATAAACCCTAAAACCCTAAACCCTAAACCCTAAACCCTAAACCCTAAAATAACAGAAAAAAGAAATAAATTATGTGGAATTGCAGTAAAAATAAACAAAGCCGATAAAATATAAACAAAAAACAATAAAGCTCTGCACCAAACAAAACAAGAAATACATTCACACAGACACAAACAAAGATACACAATGATAAACAGACATTAACCCAAAACCCTAAACCCTAAACCCTAAACCCTAAACCCTACTAAGCAGTTGAGTTGTTGATAGAGTTCTACTGGGCGGTTTAATGCGGGGGTGCCGGAGAGGAGAAGAGCTCGCCGCGCCTGTCGCAGCATTGGGCAGATCTGCATACCCAACAAACACCAACCTAGCTAGCTAGCTAGCTAGTTAGCTAGTTAGCTAGTTAGCTAGCTAGCTGGCTGGCTAGCTAAGTAGTTAGCTAGTTAGCTAGTTAGCTAACTAGCTGGCTGGCTAGCTGTCTAACTATCCGGCTAGCTAGCTAGCTAACGGGGTGGATGGATAGCTAGCTAAGTAGCTGGCTGGCTAGCTAGCTAACCGAGTGGATAGCTAGCTAGCTAGCTAGCTACGGGGAGGAGAGGAGATGCAGAGGGTCCGGAGCCTTTGGAAGGAGTGGGCTTTGCAATGCCCTCAAACCCCAAACCCTAAACCCTAAACCCTAAACCCTCGAGATTGTGTTTACCGTTTGCGTTCGTTTGGCGTGGTGGTTCTTCAGGTAGTGAGATTCGTCGCATATTACACACTGCAGCACAAACCCTAAAAATACACTTGGAGGCCCTAGGGTTTAGGGTTTTATATTGAGGGTTCAATGCTTTATATATTGAGGGCTTAGGGTATTATATCGAGGGTTTACGGTTTGTTGCTGCCACGGATTTAGGGTTTGAGATTTTAGGGTTTTAAGGTTTTAGGCTTTAGGGTTTTTGAGTATAGGACTCAGGACTTTAGGGTTTAGGGTTTAGGGTTTAGGGTTTAGGGTTTAGGGTTTAGGGTTTGCCTGATAGTTTGCTTGAAATCTTTCTTGTTTGGCGAGGAGGTCGTAAGAGATTATCACCACTCGCGTCTCCGGCGCAATTTCAGATTTCCCGTTTCGTACAATGCAAATCTGCACAAACCCTAAACCCTAAACCCTAAACCCTAAACCCTAAACCCTAGACCCTCAGGCTTGGTCTTGTGGTTTCGTTTGTACGAATCGGCACAAACGCCAAACCCTAAACCCTCGACTGCCACCCCAGCGAGCTGGTTCCCCTAGCTATCTCCCTAGCTACCTAGCTAGCCAGCTAGCTAGCTAGCTGGTTAGCTAGCTAGCTGGCTAGCTACCTAGCTAGCTAGCTAGCTATGCTTACCTGTTCAGGGGTGAGAAGATGCCCGAGCCAGCGGAGGGCCTGGTCTCGCCATTGAAAGCGGCTGAGCAGCAGCAGCAGCAAAACAAAAAAAAGAGTTGAGGTGTATATACACCTGGCAGCAGCAACAGCAGCAACAGCAGCAAAAGAAGACGCAAGAGGCAACGATTTGCGCCTGCTGCTGCTGCTGTTGCTGTTCTTGCTGCTGTTCAGGCTGCTGCTGTTGCTGTCAGTGCTGTTGCTTAGACTCCTGTCCTTCACCTTCTGCTGCTGCTCTTGCTGTTGCTGCTGCTGCTGCTGCTGCTTCACTTACATAGAAGAGGGGCAGATAACGAGAAGAGGCCAATCTTCTAAATACTGCGCTGCAATTGTCAACGCCTGCAGCAGCAGCAGCAGCAGCAGCATCAGCAGCAGACGGTGCAGCAGCATCAGCAGCAGCAGACGAAGCAGTAGAGTCAGCAGCAGTAGCACGGCAAGGCTTTATAGCTAGCTAGCTATGCGGCTAGCTAGCTAACTCGCTGGCTAACTAGCTAGCTCTCTAGCCATCTATCTGCTAGCTCGCTAACTATCCAGCAACAAACTGGCTGGCTAGCTAGCTAGCTAACTAACTAGCTAGCTATTTAACTCGCTCGCTCACACACTGGCCAGCAAGCTAGCCATCCAGCAATCTCCTTACCCATCTATCTAGGTATCTCGCTAGCTAGCCAGCTAGCTAGCTAGCTAGCTAGCTAGCTATCCAGCGATCCAGCTGGCTACCCAGCTAGCTTGCAAGCCAGCTAGCTCGCTAGCTTGCTACCTATCATGCTACCTAGCTAGCTATCTATCTATCTTGCCAGCTATCTATCTATCTATCTATCTTGCTAGCTAGCTAGCTAGCTACCTATCTATCTATCTATCTATCTATCTAGCTATCTATCTATCTATCTATCTATCTATCTATCTATCTATCTATCTATCAATCTAGCTAGCTATCTATCTATCAATCTAGCTAGCTATCTATCTATCTAGCTATCTATCTATCTATCTAGCTATCTATCTATCTATCTATCTATCAATCTATCTATCTATCTATCTATCTATCTATCTATCTATCTATCTATCTATCTATCTATCT